GTGGGCAGCCCCCACCGAACCCCCCCACGCCGGGCTCCCGGGGCTGCCCGGGCTCGCTGCTGAGGAACTGGGGGCGCTTCTTGGGGTGCTCAAGTTGCAATGGGTCATCTTTGGGGAGAAATTACTGGACTTGTCCTGGAGAGGAGCCTGCGGGAGCTCGGCCTGTCACCTGCTGCAGCAAACACGGGCAGGGAGGACTGAGCTCGCAGTGGGTGCAGGATGGGGAAACACGAGCCGTGTCCGAGGGGATTCACGGAGCCTCCCACCATCAGGAGCGGCGGGCTGGGGCTGCTGGCTGAGGTTTTCCAGGATGGTGCCACACCAAGTCATGCAGGGACAGCCGTAGTGGTTTAGGCTGCCCGTTGCATAAACCAAAGCCTCTGGTCTGGTCCCTAATGCCCGAGGTGTGCACAGATGAACCCCTGAGCAGTGTCTGCGCAGCCTTTCCTGAGGATGTCAGGGGCATCTCTGCAGTGCACCTTTGGGGTCTATCTGGCCACCCACAGACACCCCAGTCCCCTGCTCTTGGCCCCTCGGAGTGTCTTGGTGCAGTGTGTGTGTATTTGTAGCCAGCAGCTGCCAGCTCCAAGGTGGTAACTGGATCGCAGGGCTTGGGTGACCTTTGTGCCTCTCCGAGGCTCAGTTCTGGATGTCCCACCAGCTCCCAGTTTGGGGTCGGGTAGTGGGGACAGTGTGTCTGTGAGGTGAAGGTGTTGTGGTTTAACCCCAGTCAGCAACTACGCGCCACACAGCTGCTTGCTCACACCCACCCCTGATGGGATGGGGGAGAGAATTGGAAGAGCAAAAGTAAGAAAACTCATGGGTTGAGATAAGAACAGTTTAATACTTGAAATAAAATAATAATGAAAAAAAATTGTAATGGAAAGTAAAATGACAAGAGAGGAACAAAACCGGGGGGAGGAAGGTGATGCAACTGCCCACCAACTGATGCCCAGCCAGGTCCTGAGCAGCAATCGCTGCCCCCTGGCCAACTCCCCCCAGTTTATGTACTGAGCATGATGTCGTATGGTATGGAATATCCCTTTGACCAGTTTGGGTCAGCTGTCCTGGCTGTGCCCCCTCCCAGCTTCTTGTGCACCTCCCCACTGGCAGTGTATGGGAAGCTGAAAAGTCCTTGGCTTAGGATAAACACTGCTCTGGCAGAGTATGGGAAGATGAAAAGTCCTCGATTTAGTATAAACACTGCTCAGCAACAACTAAAACATCGGTGTGTTATCAACATTATTCTCATGCTAAATCCAAAACACAGCACTGTACCAGCTACCAGGAAGAAAATTAACTCTATCCCAGCCGAAACCAGGACAGAAGGCCACAGGAGGGCCGGCTGATCCTAATCCTTCCACGGGCAGCTCTTCCACGTGGTGTCCCTGTGCGGGTCTGGGACTCGAGCTCCTGATGAGAGCTGGTCCCACAGAGCCCTCCGTTTAGGACAGGCACCTGCTTAATGTGGGCGAGAAAGTGCTCGTGGCTCGAGGTGCTAGTGCCAGTGTCTTCCTCCTGCTGCGGTGGGGATGGGCTGCAGGACACCAGAGCCGCACACGAGTCCTTCTGGTTGAATTTTTTGCCTGCAGACAGTTGGTTACCATCCCAGCTCTGCCTTGGGCCAACGTACGGTGCTGTCCAGGAGTGAACAGAAAGACTTTAACTGACATGAGGAGTGTTGTCTGGTGCTAGAATCTTGGAAGAAGTGGGTTATTCCCTGCTCCGGCACTAACCTCCTAGGAATGCTGCTGCTCATGTCTTCTTGCCTAATGCAACTCCTTGCAGAGACGCAAATGCTGTTGCTCTTGCTTGGGGAGTCCCCCCAGATCCAGGCAGCCTGGGCACCCCACAGGCGTGGGACCTGTGCTGGGTTTTCCTGCCTCACCTGGCCCCCTGTTCTGGTCCCTCTGTCCTCACAGCGGGTCTGTCCTTCCTCCCGCAGGCATGAAGCGACCCCTGAGCCCATCCCACAACCCCGAGAATGGGGTGCGGCTGGTGGAGGCGGCCAGCTGCCCGCCGAGCCAGCCTGAGCAGCGCATGAAGCGGGAGAAGAAGCACCAGTCGTTCACGCTCTGCGAGGTCTGCAACATCCAGCTCAACTCGGCCGCGCAGGCGCAGATCCACTACAACGGCAAGTCCCACCAGAAGCGCCTCAAGCAGCTCAACAAGGGGAAGATGCCGGCAGCCCAAGGTAGGAGCCCATCCATCAGGCTGAGGTTGCCCAAAGGCTGCCCTTGCTCTGGGACAGCTGCTCCGCTGGGCTTGGTGCGCTGGATTCGTGGGATGCTTGGGAACGCTGTGTTGTGTCCTCAGCGTCTGTCCCTTGCTGGTCTGCCTGAACTCCGGGAGCTTCCCCACCCCACTGTCACTGCCGGTCCTCAAGTGGTTTTGGGGCCTGAGAGCCCACGGTGCTGCGCTGGATGGATGGACACGTGTGGGTCCTGTCAATGTGCAAGTGCAGTTGCTGGTACTCTGTCTTCATGAACATCTTCTTGGGTTTCCGTAGATGACTTTTGCAGATGGGATGAGCGCATCCAAGGGTGGAGTGGCTGTTGGCTTCTGGGTTACTGGCTACCTACTTTCCAGGTGCCATCTTGACCCCGTCCCACCAGCCTCCTGCCGTGCACGTCTTCTGTAACTGTGCTGAGTTTGGCTGCTGTTGACTCAAAATGCTGCTTAGATTTTGGTGCTGAGGGTTAAGGGTGGACCACTCAAAAGCTCTCAAGCGACATTTTCAAATATGGTTGGAGGTTTTGTTGGAAACTATGATCTTCTGAACCTTCACCTACGTTTTTCTGTTGGGGTGCTCTGCACTGGCAACCCCCGTTAACCTGCTGTTCCCTGTGCTCAGATACTCTGGCAGTATGTAGCTGCCTTGGATCCCACTGGCCCTTTGACATGTAACATCTTTGGCAAATTGTCCTGTTGTGCTGGCTTGTGGTGGGGGATTGTGCTTCTTTCTTGCTGCCCAGGGAGGGCTCCTGTGGTGTGTTTGCACAGGGGAGGTCACTGGCCTGAGTCCCTTGTCCAAGGGCAGCTGCTACCTGCCATTAGCTCACTGGGGTCCCAGCGAGTGCTGGGATATCGCCTGCTGCGACGCCAACGCTTGATGGGCGCTACAACAAACCAGACAAGCTGAGCCATCTGGGGTCGATGTGTCTAACAGGGTCGATCTGTTCCAGTGAGAAGGAAAGCACCAGCATTGCAACAAGGGCAGGTTTTGTTTTCCATTTAGAGACTGTTTTTCACAAAAGCCACTTAGCAGAAGTGGCAGCCAAGACAGCTCCGTGCTTGCCCTTGACAGGATGTTTTAAGGTCCGTGGTTTTGTTTCACCAAGTGTTTAGGTGATGGGCTGAATGCATGGGACCTCGGGCACTGCAGTATTAGGAGGTAAAGGTGTCTTTTGTGGGATGCCCCTAATCACCTGTATCTGAACTCCCAGGGGTGACATGCTCAGCGGCCTGTTTTACTTGCTGGTCATCCATGCAATGTGATGCTGGGGACATAGTGGTCCAAGGCTGCTGTGAGTTGGGGATGGTTTCTCTTTTTGGATGGTGGAGCTCCTGTTCGTTGTCTAATTATTATGGAACACCTCTGTTGTGTTACAGCTGGCAAGAGAGCAGCCCAGCGTTGTCCCTCCAGGCAGGCTCAACATCCACTCGATGTTGTTAGCAACTCCATGAGGTGCAGAGCTGCATATTAACGACTTGTCAGGCTGCAGCACAAGGAAGGAGTACATTCTCTGGTGGCTGGACAAAGCCTCCGCTAAAGAGCAACGAGGTGATCCCTGTCACGCTAAGCCTGACTAACCAAGTCTCTGGCTTCCTGCCTGTTTTTTCCCCGAATGTCACCCTGGTGAGGGTAGTCTTCTCTAAGCCCCTCTTGTTAATTCTCTGGGGGCACTTTCTAAGCGTACGAGAAGGGCTGGCGCTTACCCCTGGGGGCTCTGTGGGTGGGTGGGTAGTCCTGGCCCCTCGCCCGTCAGCCGTGGCAGGGATGCTGGCACACGGCAGGTGCTGCGCTGCCGGGCAGGAGCTCGTGCGAGGGCAAAAGGACTGGTTTGCCCGCTCTGCAGTCTGTTGGCATTTACCTGACCTGGGCCTGTACAGCTGACTGCTGCAGAGTTTCTCCTGCATAAAAGTAGGGAAATGTGCCCACAAATGTCACCCTGCAACAATGATTGACGTGCTATTAAGCAGCAAACCAAGGGAATTTGTTCTTCCTGGGGCTGGTGCAGACACCTGTGCCCAGGGCAGTGCCCAGAGCCCGGTGTCCCCAGCCTGGGGCTGGGGCCAGCGCTTCCCCCCTGGCACCCTGCTGCTGTTCGAGGAGGGTGTCGCTGGCTGCTCCGTGGGGAGCAGCGGTCATGGGGGGTCTGGGTGCAGCCCTCTTCAAGCTACAGGGAGCGTCCGACTCGGTAACTGCCCTCCTTTCCTTACAGACTAATTACAAGTTGGATTAATGAGCTGAGGTCTCCGAAGCACTTTGTAGCTAATTGATGCCTTTATCTGGTGTGAGTGTGACGAGAAGTTGAGGGGATGGGGAAAAGGCAGGAATGTGCTGGAATCCTGTAAAACGGTGTGTTCGGTGCCGGCCCCTTGCTCCCAGGCACCCTGCGCCCCAGCTGGCCTTCTGTGGCCCACGGCGTGCTGTCCCCCAAGGAGCTGCTCTGCTGAAGAGCAGTAAGGGGTTGGAGTCCAGTCCCAGTTTTGTCAGGAAATGTTTGTTTAATAACATCTGAAGGGTTGGCAAACAAACCTGCAATGCTTTTGCAAACAGCAAAGCAGCAGTGGGTTGCAGGGTGGTAAAACCTGCTGTGTCCGGCGGCCCCCCCAGCCCTCTTTAGTCGGAAGGGTGATCACAGCAGTGTCCCATGTGTGCACAACGTGCGATGCTCTTCGGGCATCAGGGTGGCTGTGCTCAGTGCCTTCACTGCTGTACTCATTGGTGGCTTTTAGCACATCTGTGTTTGGGAGAGTCCTGGGTATGAACTCCAGCACTTTCCATCCTGCTGAACACCAAATTTCCTCAAAGGCAGAAAAGTGCTGACGGGACCTGGCTTACAGCCGGGTCAGGAGGATGCTCATACCCAGCAAACTAAGAGGGTGGGTAGCTGGGTGCTGTGGTTGGTGCCAGGGCCCTGGCTGCGGTGCCCTGGCCTTGGCAGACCCCTGGGGAGCGGCCTGTATAAATACCTGCTCTTGCTAAAGACCGGGCAGGCTGGAGCCATAAATTCCTAGCATGGCAATGGTCATCTGTATGCCAAATCCTGCCCTCCCTGGTGGTGGTTTTGCTTGAGCAAGGTCTGGGATATGCAAAGGAGCTAGTCTGTTTATCATCGTTTACTGACAGATGGAAATATCGCCTGCTATTTTAATGGGAGCAGGGCTCATAAATTCCAGCCTGCAGCTTCCAGATTCTCCCCCTGGACCCGGTTGTGGCTCAATGGGAGACTGTCCAGGGATGTATTTCCTACCAAGCCAAAGAATCTCAGAGCATGCAAGTATGCTCTTTGTACTTCTGCATCATCCCTGACCTCCGCCAGCATCCAGGGCTCCAGCAGGCAGTCACAGCCCTCAGGGCTTTGCTGTGCTGTCAGCCTTGCACACACACACTTTGCTCTGGCATTTAAGCTGAAGTTGGCTTCTGCTTGCGCAGGGCTGCGATTTGCTTATGTGGGGAAATTGCAGGCGGCATCTGCTCACCTCACCTCCCCATCCCTCCTGCCCCCCCAGCGGCAGTGGAGAAGTGGCACCCGTGCAGGACGCTGCTCCCGCCGCAGCCTGCTCCACGCATCCAGAGCCGACCTTCTCCCCCACACTTTTGTTCAAAAATGTAATTTCCAGCTTTGTCACTGGGAACCTTTCCCAGCCTCCTGAGGCATGAGCACGGGAGGGCACGTGGCCACGAATGACAAATTAGGGCTGGAAACCGGCTGATGCGATGCCCGTGTCCCCTTCATGCCGGTCACCGAGCGTGCTGCTGGCACTGCGGGTGCCCAGTGCCACCTGGCCCTGCGTCTGCTGTGCTGGGAGAGGGGCTGACTTCCCCCCTCCCCACCCCCAAACCCAACCATCCACCGCTGTCGAGAAGAGGGGACCAGCCCTTTCTGCCTTGCCCAAGTGAGCTAAGGACAGGCGCTGGAAAAGCTCCTGGTCTGTGCTCCTGCCTGGCCTGCAGCGTGCGGGCAGAAGGGTGCAGGCAGGGCTGGGTAGAGGTGATGGTTGCTTGGGCTAAGCCCGGTGCAGGGGGGCTCTGCCCTGCCCCATCACGCTCTTTTTGGAGCCCTTCACCAGCTGAACCAGCACCTTTCGGTGCTGAGGAAAACGCACCTGCCTGCAGTCACGGGAGCAGTCGCCCCTTCTTGGGCAGCCCGGCGCGTGCCCAGCCCTTGCTCGGGCAGGTCCTGGCCAAGCTGCTTGCTCCAGCAGTGGCCTCAGCCCAGCACAACCCATGGAGAGGGCAGGCTAACGTGGGTCTCTGATAACGTGTCAGCACTGGGGGAGCCTTGGGAGGAGAGGGGATGCTTTTTAAAGACAATAGATTAAATAATTGAGTTAGGCAAAGACGGGATATTCCTCTGAGCTGGAATCTCTGTCTCGCACTGACATCTACAGCTACATCAAAGGCAGCTTTCACAGACGCTGCTCCATCTTCCCCGTTTCCCCTCTGGCTTCTCTGATCAGTTATTTCTGTAAAGGCTGTAATCGCTTGCGTTTCATGGAGCAAAGCTATGGAGGAGCTTAGCTGGCAAATAGATGTGATAATCAGTATCATTACAATTTAATAGCTTTGTGCCAGAAAGACCCCCAACTTAAAAACAAATTATTGTTCATTAGGCATTTTCTTGCAAGGCAAATCATAGATTTCTGTTGTCTCGTGTTGAATTGCAGTGCAGCAGCAATTAGATACGGGATGTCCACAGATGAAAGATGTTTTCATGTTGCAGATGCCAGTTCAAATCCAACTGGGTCAAGAGTGATTTAATTACTGCCTGTGATTTTCAAGGGTGCCCAAGTCATCTCAGTTTGCTCTTGGTGTCCTCGTGCTCCCGCGACCAGGAGCTGGACCCCCTCGTTCTGGTGCTGAACAAGCAGAAAGAGCTGTGCCTCCCCCCAAAACAGGGAGTGGTGGCTGCTGGCACAGCCTCCAGCACTGCTTTTGTGCCAGTGCAAATTGCTGGGTGAGGG